CGTTTGTATTCATAAGAAAAAACGACTAAAATTATAGAAGAAAACCTATAATTGACATAGAAGAATTGAATCCAATCCATTCTGTGTGCATATATACATATTATATGTATATACATAATCTTTTTAAGACGTAAATTCCTACCTACTCTCTTTTACCTTTTTTGGTGCCTTTTTTCTTTATCTTGTCGACAACTTATTGTGCATATATATATATATATATATATATATATCATAAGTTCATAACTAACGAGTATGACCCCTACTAATTCCCTGAATGTGATCATGTATGCTTACCTGATCGGTTGATACTATATATAAATAGGCGTTGATTATCATATAAACGTACTAATAAAAAATTAATCCATGGCAAACCAATTACTATTATTTAGGAGCAAATCGTCAAACTGATCAACTTGATGTAACGAATGTTCAAACTAAATTCAATATTAATATGCATCTTGCCACTTTTGACATTTAATATTTGCCGTATTCCTTGACTTATAGTTCGATGAAAATCTATTGAAAAAGAAAATCGTACTTAAAGTGAAATACCAAAAAAAATTTAATGTGGTCAACAGTATTAATTCTTTATTATTAAATGAAGGTTTGGTTATCGACGAATTGAAATATGAAAATCTCAATCAATATTGAAATAATTAAAGTACGAAAAATCCTTTTCGTAATATCCTCTTTCAATTTCTTCAACGACGTCATATAAGCTCATTCAGTTATCCGATTCGAGTTTTCAATACGTAATGTTTTATGAGAATTTTTTACTATAACAAGAATGGCATTTTGTGAGAATTCTTTACTGTAATAAACTGAAATTGAAAATTCAAATTAGAAAAATGAATGAGGCTATAAGAGACTTTTTAAGCAAATGGATTATTGAACTTATAATCCTTAAGTGCATGAGTCTGAATTTTTATCCGATATTCTTGATTAATATACTTTGACTAATATAGTTATTTGGCTAGAGTATGAATTAAAAATATAGACCCACACATTTTAAGTGGTATTTGTCTCATTTTCTCTATTAAATAATACTTTGATCAAAGATACTTGTTTCTTATAAACTAACTTCAAAAGTTGTCAAAAGCCTTGACGACTTTCTGTCTGATGATGCATATATATAGATATATATTTAAATCTCAAATAATTAATAGCCAAGCCTGTCGA